ATGTAGTCCAGTCTTGTAACATCATCTTACATTTGGCGGAAGTGAATCGTATGTCATACATTCGTAGATTGCAGTTCAAGGTGTTCAAAAGACTCTGCTTGTATTTTGTCAGCGTCCTCGCCTAGAAGGACTATATCGTCTGCATATTCTAGTGAGTGCCAACTAGCGCGAAATCTAGTTCAGACTGGGCTTTCTATCGGTCACCTCTGACTGTCTAATATCAACAATTCAAAGTGCATCGTGTTTATGCCGAGCCATTATCTAGTGGCATGGTGGCCACAATGCCAACTTGACTGTCTGACTGACTGACATAGAATTCAGTCTGCACCGAACAAAGGACTAGACACATCACACTAGTTACTAATTAGTGTCTACATCAAAATGATTCTTAGTTTTGTCATAAACACGTTTATACAGTATGTTTTATAAATCAAATCTTTCATAAAAGGTTTATCTATGACCCAAGATAATCCACCACTGCTATCAGACTAAATTCAGAATTGTCATGTGAGCATAATATGCAGATTAAGGTAGGTATTAAGTTTCAATTATTTCAATTTCAAGTAATAAAGCTGATGAATTTGTTAATCTGCATGAGCTGAGTCAATTGAATGAAACACGCTCCATCTATGTGTATCTCTGTTTGAAGCTAGGTAAAGGAGGTAAGGAGGTAAAGCTAAAGGACTCTGTCGGTTGACCCAATTAAACAAAATAATATAATTTACAAAATACCTTGCAATGACTGTGAGTCAAGTCAACTACATAGGCCAAACTAGTAGGTCGCCGGTAGTCAGATTGTCGGAACATAAGAATTTAACTGAGGTAAGAATAATTAATCCGAGAAGATAAGTAATTTGGAAAAAAGAGCTCAGCGATTGCACTGCATGCATTAACACACAACGACGCAATGTGATGGGAGGAGGTTAAAATTCTAAAAAGTAATATAGGTAGGTGGAGAGAGAGAGAGAGAGATTATTCAATCTTGCCTGGTTCATGGGGTCTACACCCAACACATGCAGTAGGAATGACTCATCACTCATACCGGAAATATGGAGAATACTACTACCAATCAAGTCAAGCGATGAAATGAAATAATGGAATTATATAAACTAAGTTAGAAAGTTGTGTTCGTGGTAACTTGATATGATTATGAGTAGCAATAATTTGTGCTAAAAACTTCGTCATCTGTAAACATTAATGTATTACACTGTGAGGCTTTATCAGCAACAAAATTTCACCCATAATGGGATTATACCCTACCAAAGTACGCAATTTTTAATTCTTATCCAAATTTTCGTAACAAGAGTACCGTGTAGATCCTTTGTGTGTGTATGTCTGTGTTATTTTAACCTCTAAATTTAATTACAAAATATAAATAAAACAAAATCATATGATTGGTTGGAGGATTTCATCATGAACCGGCATCAATTAGATGACCATTGCAAAACTAGTCAGGAAGTGCAGGACAGCTGTTTCGTCCGCCTGGTTTGGGACTCTACTTCAGCAGTACGCGCCGACACAACGGGATTCGAACCCATGACATTCTGGTTACAAGACTACCGAGCTAGCTCGTAGACGATTAAGCCAATCACTGGAGCGCGATCCAATGGCCAGTCAATGAATTCTAATTTCTGTCAATTCATGCCATAGAGCGACCACTTAGAAATGTCTTCTTCTTCGATGAGTTATGGCCTCACCTTTTCAACATGCTGTACCCTACCGGTCACGGCTTCCGACTAGAACCTCAGGTAACTACCTACCTGAATAGAACCAGATTAGGTAGGTATAAAGTTTCAATTATTTCAATTTCAAGTAATAAAGCTGATGAATTTGTTAATCTGCATGAGCTGAGTCAATTGAATGAAACACGCTCCATCTATGTGTATCTATATTTGAAGAATCACTAAAACGTGATTAGGCGGAGACAGTTGCGATAATTCTTGTCTAAATCTCTCTCATGAAATGTGCGAGGTTTTCAAGTGTTTTTTTGTTTTTATCGGCATTTGATTGATGCCAAGTTCGATTATGGACTGATATCAGTTGTTTAGAGCTTGTCTGGTAACTTGAAGGTCGTGGGTTCGATCTCCAGTGAGGTGAGGCAGGCTATGAGTTGACCAATTCAACTCGTCATATATCACATACATTCACACAAAGGTAGACCAATGAGAGGTAGAAATAAATTCACATGAAGTGTAATCAACAGAAATGTTAGGAAGAAAGAATAGTAGTAGTAACATGGAAAATCATGAAGATTTGATAGAGAAGAGAGAGGAATTTGTTGGAGGATTTCACCATGAGTTGATATCAGCTAAAGAACCATTGAAAAACTAGCCAGGGAGTACTAGACAGCCAGTTGTTTCGTCAGCCTAGTTTGCGACTCCACTTTAGCAGTACGCAACCGCAGCACAGAGTTCGAACCCAGGACCTTCTGATGTCAAGTGTAGCGGCGGGCTGGTAGACCATTAAGCCAATCACTGGGACCCGATCAAATGGCCAGTCCGTGAATTCTAAGTTCTGCCAATTCATAAAATAGCGCGAGCATTTCTTAGTGTCTTCTTCTTCTTCTTCAATGAATTACTACCTCAACTTCAACCTGCTGTACCTAACTGGTCACGGCTTCCTACTAGAACCCCAGGTAACTAAGTACACATATAGGGCTAGTCGCTAGTGAGCATCAAATCAATTTTCAAGTACTGGTGGGTGTTTTGATGCTCACAAGCGACTGGCCTTATTCAGGCAGTTAACCTGAGGTTCTAATGGGAAGCCGTGACCAGTTAGGTACAGCACGTTGAAGGTGAGAACAGTTAATAATCGAAACAGAAGACATTGAGAAGTGGTCGCGCTATGTCGTGAATCGGCAGAAGTTAGAATTCATGGGTTGGTCATTTGATTGGGTCTCAGTGGCTCTGTGATCTACTAGCCAGCTCGCTAGCCTTATAAACAGAAGGTTTTGGTTTTGAACCCCGTGGTGTGGGTGCGTACTGCTGTTCAGTACTTCCCTGACTGGTTTTCCAATGGTTCTCTAACTGATATCAGCTCATGATGAAATCCTCCAACAAGTAAAACAAACATAATCCCTACAAAATTAAACCTGGAGATAAGAGAAGTTACAAGGCATGAATGCATCAGCGCCAGCCATTATGAACAACTTTGATCCATGTGACCAATTGTCTCCATTCGTTTATTCTTAGCATTCCACTCACCATGACTATTTTATATACACTTTCTTTTGAACTGTGATACCTTTCAATTGAAGCACTGCTGTACAGTGTTCACTCCTGATTTGTCGACCCGTCATTTAGTCGTTGATCTACTAGGGGTTGTGGGGCATTTACATAGGCTTTACACTTAAATATTGACTTAAAGTTTTGGTTAAGAGACAACGTCTCATTAATATATACATACCTCCACCATTCTTCGACTAGAGATGGGGCAGACCGTTTCATTCGCTAAGTTTTCCCACCTATCCATGAATAATTCTGCCACAACCGGGGATATTGGTGACCCCATGGCAATACCCTCAGCCTGTTTTTTCGCATATTCCCTTGGAATTTAAATACTGTGGAAGTCAGGCAGTACTGTACCGTACTGTACTGTAATGCTGTACCTTCAGCATTATATCCTCAAGTGGCTCTTTGCTCCCAAGTTCGAGTTCTTGGTCAGAAATGAGTTCGTTTCTGACTGCCTCTATAGCCATATTTATTGATTGGTATGCATGTATATAAACTGACATTGTCAAAACTAACCTGTTTTTCTTCACTATTTAATTTTAAATTATATAATTTATGTTCTAGTTTATAAGAATTTGTTAGTCTAGATTTCGAGTGGTTTTTAAGAGATAATTTGATGCCATGGCTAAATATTTAGATAATTCACAAGTAGGTGAATTTCTAAAATCGGCTAGGGGTTTAATAGGGTATCCTGATTTATGAACTTTAACAACACAATACGTCCTACTGGAGTTATTAGTTTTGGGCATTAAGTTAATCCGTTTAAACTCACCTAGAAACGGCTTCATTTGTAATGTCATCCAGTAAATCATAATACTGTTTCACTCACTGTTTGATATATCTAATAAATAAACTAATGTGGAATAACGTCTCTGTCTGTCTGTCTGTTTTTGACATAGAACTTTGCACCGATGTGCACCAGTTCAATTCGCCACACTTCCTCCATGTAGCACACAAAGCCAGAGAAGAAAGTAGAAGAAATGCATAACAGAGACAGTAGACAGGGATATGAGACAAAGAAATAGTAATAACGAAGAACGATATAGTTTCATTGAAAATTATAAGTCACAAGGAGTGGATGCATCTGCGCCAGCCATTCAGAATGATTTTGAGCTAGCCATATCACCAATTGTCGCCAGTTTCATTTGTTTTTACCGTCCCGAGGACCCCAACCAGTCAGTCAGGAAGTCTACATCTTCCTACGTGGCTGGCTTAAACTAACTGTTGTAGATTTCATTGACTGGTGCCATGTTTTGGTTTGACCTCCGCTAGCTCTTTTCCAGTCTGACCCTATGTCAGCTAACATTGCCCATTGTCGAGGAAGGCGATGACTCGATGGTATCTGTAACACATGTACTAACAATCTCAGTCGTTGTAGCTCCACAGCCTCATCGAATGATTTCCCCTACTTACCTAGCACTCGACTGATGCCTAACCTCAATATTCCTCATCTTATTATACCTTTTCACACGGGAAATAGAGCGCAGGCATGTATGATCGAAGATAGCTTATCTTTTCATGTCTTCCACTCTCAATGATCAGGTCTCATAGCCATAAAGGAGGACGGAACGGACTGCTGAGCGGTACACCCGCCCTTTGGTCGATAGTCGGATATCATTTCTATGCCAGAGATGGCGTAAACTGGCATATGGAATAACGTCTTGTGTTTCTCATATATTGTTAGTCTTATGTTGAATAAATTACTTAACGTGTTTCTTCTACCTTTTCATCATTTTCATCATTGTTTTTTTTATATTTCAATTCATATAGAATCATATCAAAGAAGCTGAGTTGAGAATTGAATTAACTCTACACTATGGGACACCATATCCTCGACTGATCAATATCCCACCGAATACATTAGCTGCACATATAGCTAAATCATCATCATCGTCATCATCCGACAAAGCACAAATGTCACGACGAACTGAACGTGCTCTGCGTAGTTCTATTCCTTCATATTTAAAATCATATACATATAAACCTGTTAAGAAAAAAGAATGAAATTTAACAACAATAATGCTGTATTCATTCAACATTCAATGTACAATGTACAAATAGAATTGTTTAAATGTGTAGATAGATTATAAATAATAAAATAAATCGCGCCAAGTTGAAATGCTTTTTCTTCTCTTAACTAAACACTACTTGTTGACGTGAATGGTTTTCAACTACTATCAAGTAGGGTGGTACTCACTCAGGATACGGATAGTTTGAAGTGATTCAGTCGGCTGAGATGAGTCAGTCAGAGTATAACGGTGATAGGAGCAGGTGTCTCCAATCGATTGAAACTGCCTGCCGTCTAGTGTTCTTTAGACGGTCGCGATTTGACTACACATTTCAGTTACTAATGAATGCTCCCTTATACTGTTATTATTATTTTAAGTCATGGAAAATTCTCATTGTAACACACAGAAAATCAAAACAAGTGGTGATTCAGCGAAGAGACTCTTTTCAACAACAAATTTATCATCAAGCTGTGCAATCGTATATATATATACATATATGTTTTTTAAGAACTAATATCCGTTGAGGGAATTGAGTCGTAGGTGTGAATGCATAAAATGTGCGTTGGTGGCACAGTGGTTAGGACTCTCACCGACCATGCACATGGTCCGAGGTTCGATCCGCTGCCGATGCACACCTGATATCTATGGTCGGCCTGCAAAATTACCGATATCCATGCTGAAAATTCTATACTTGTACCGAAAATATAGTATGGAATCAAGCTGTAATCAAAAATAACAAAAAAAATAAAAATAAATAATAATAATGATAGTATGAAATGTAATTAAAACTTAAATGTTTGTGATTATAATCATAGTTAAATGTCAAGTGGCGAAACAATTAATGTCATATATATATAGAATAATTCAGAGGATGGATAGAACTTGGAAGGGGTATGTAATTATTAGGATTAGTAGACAAATCGAATAAAATAAAAGGGTTAACTTATATTGTGTGAAATCTGATAGCATAGAATTTAACGTCGTAAAACAGAATTGATTTAGAATGACAAGTGGAACAAGTGAAATAATACCAGTGACGGTTCAAAGTGAGAGTAGTAATAGTAACAATTGACTTAATAAGGAATAGACTACAAGTTGAATGTACAAAATGAAAAAATGAAAAATTGGTAGAGCTAAAATATGATTGGGGATTACCATACTTTAGCTTAGAGGGATTAAGATCATGAAAGTTGGAGGGGTTGAACGAACTTTTTCTGTATGCAGAGATCTGGCTTTTCTGTTTCGGTGGCCAAAGATGGCTTCAACAATACAGATGAGTTCGGTGCGTAGGGATTTCGGTAAATTACTCTTTGCCTTGTAGATGACTTTAAAGGCAGGGGCTATAGACACTTCATGGTCTTATTGATGGTAATCCCTAATCATATTTTAGCTCTACCAATTTTTCATTTTTTCATTTTGTACATTCAACTTGTAGTCTATTCCTTATTAAGTCAATTGTTACTATTACTACTCTCACTTTGAACCGTCACTGGTATTATTTCACTTGTTCCACTTGTCATTCTAAATCAATTCTGTTTTACGACGTTAAATTCTATGCTATCAGATTTCACACAATATAAGTTAACCCTTTTATTTTATTCGATTTGTCTACTAATCCTAATAATTACATACCCCTTCCAAGTTCTATCCATCCTCTGAATTATTCTATATATATGACATTAATTGTTTCGCCACTTGACATTTAACTATGATTATAATCACAAACATTTAAGTTTTAATTACATTTCATACTGTCATTATTATTATTATTTTATGCACTCACACCTACGACTCAATTCCCTCAACGAATATAACTTCTTAAAAACCATATCCTGTGGTGCATTGTTTGAAATGTAAACGCAACGCCGTGGTTTTTTTTAAATTTTTTTTGGGTGTTGCTTTTTGGTTTTAAAATCCTATAAAATTTATTAGGTAATTAGATGCAATATATTGTAATGCACGCTGAAAATTCCACATCTATGCCACAAATACTGTTTGGAATAAAGCTGTTATATATATATATATATATATATATATACGATTGTACAGCTTGATGATAAATTCGTTGTTGAAAAGAGTCTCTTCGCTGAATCACTTGTTTTGATTTTCTATACGTTATTATTATTCTCTTGGGTTCCTAATGGAACATCGGTTTTCGGCAGTACATTTCCATTTCACTCTGTCCTATGCATTTCTTTCTAGCTGGCTCCAAGTTGGCCCATGAGCTGTCATCTCTTCCCGCCAAACGATCTTCTTCATGTACCTTTCAGACGACCAACTCGTCATTTTCCATTAGGGTTTGAGTCAAGGGTTTCCCCGGCGCGTCACATCAATCAGCGATCTCTTACATCTGCATTTTTTCTACGGCATGTTTCTTGGGCGGTCTGTTCTTGGTTGGTTCGCTGCCTGACACACGCACACACAGACAGTTCCTAGTTGCTTAACGTTTCTGTTCGGCTGTCTGTTCTTTTAAATATAGAGCCAGAGAAGGTAGCTGTTTATTGATTAGAGTTTGATGTCTGTTGAAAATAATTCTGCGGCGTGTCAAATCTCTGCATCTATATCGAATCGCTGACTTGACATTTGCGTTGTAAATTCGGATCTTATTCCATTATACTGATTACATGGACTGTCAAAGTGATTTCATATCATTCACGAAAATGCTTCTGCTTAATCTAGGGTTCAAAAGTGACACTGAAGCAGAAATCTTTCGTCTCTGCGAATTTCTGAGGAAAACATACTTCGCCACTAGCCTTCGGCTGACGTTTTCCTGCAAAAAACTGTTCAGCCAGAACGCAAAGGACAATCTGTCGCATTGGGCCACTTCAGCGTGCAATTTACCAGTTTACTTGCTCGTGTGGAGCTGAATACATTGACCGTTCCATGCGCCAACTTGAAAATCGCACTCGTGAACACTATCCAGCCTGGCTAGTAAAAGGAGAACGAAAATGTGTATATAGTTCAGTGACAGAACATCTCGATTTGGGGCATCCAGCGCCATTCGAAAAATCCTTCAAAAACATATACAAGATTCGGTCAAACCTATCAAAGGGAGTGAAATCAAGACATCTAGGCATAGCCGTGGAACTAGCCATCCAAAAGCTCACACCCAAACTATTTATCCAAGAGAAATACGTCCAACTCCTGTACCTGCCATGGCCATCACAAACAGGTAATTCTTCTGACAGTGACTATCCCATTGCCCTTCTTATGCAAACTTCCTGTTTATTCATGTTATTTTGAAGTTTTTCCCACTCCCTATTTACACTATCGTATTTTCATATCCGAACTTCCTGTCTACTTTGTCATTTCATTTTTCACATCAGTAATGATCCCACTAGATTTTTTATCCAAACATCCTGTCTATTGTTGTTATTTCTACATTTATGGCCCCTAATTGCACAATATGTCAGTCTTCCCAGTAATTATGATGCTACTTTATTTGAGTTTTATCCGTCCCCCTGTTTATTATGACTTTTTAATTCCTAATTGTAATTTTATTAATTTGATCCTTGACCAGAAATTATTCTAGAACTTTCCCACCCATTTATCATAAATACACGAATGTAGAGCCTAGTTAGCGGTGACTTCATCGGAAAGAAAATTTTCTCCGTTGCAACTGTCTTTATTATTCCCTATTATCTGCGTTACTTTTCAGATTCTGACTTCAGTGGCTTGGTGGCACAGTGGTTAGAACTCTGGCCAATCATGCACATGGCCAGGGATTCGATCTCCGGCCGACTGACACCTGATATCAATTGCGGTCGTCGGCCTGCAAAATTCGGGCTACCGATATCACGTGCTGAAAATTCTATACCTGTACCTGTAAACCGAAATGTAAGGCAAAAAGAATAGTCATATGGAGGGAGAATAGCATTTTACTTGATATGACAAATCACAAAGAGTGATTGCATCTTTCCGACCTATTGGTTCTTACCATGCTGAGGACCCCAACCAGACGCCAATCTACACCTCCTTACGTGACTGGCTTGAACGAACCGTTATGCATTTTATCGCCTTATGAAGCTGTGTTTTGGTTTGACCACCACTGGTTCTTTTCAAACCGGATCCATCCTGCTAACATTCCCCGTTGTCGAGGAAGGCAAGGGCTAGGGATTCATGCGTAACACATGTCCTAACCATCTCAACTGATGTAACTTCACAACCTTTTCGATTGGTTTTGCCTCTTAACCTAGCACTCGACCGATGCCTCACCTCAATATTATTCATATTTATTATACCACCTAACTCGGGAGATAGAACTCAGACACCTATGATGAAAGACTGCGTGCCAGGCTTCTCATACCTTACACTTTTAATGGCCATATCTCACTGACAGGCATGAAGAAGGATGGAGCGGACTGCTTTGCAGTACACACACCGTTTGATCGACACCCAGATGGATATCACGTCGACTAAGCCTGAGATGGCGTAAGTTGGTGGTCATATGCTAAATGAGCCTTATGTATCCATGCTGAGATTTCATGAGTGATCAACCTGTTGGATCGGATACAACTTCCCACCCAAATAAGTGGAGTGGTCAACAAGCTCCATCACTTCACTCTTTCCTATCTTTAAGCTAGGAGTTGATGCAGTCCATTCCAATCCTGTAGCATCATCTTACGTTTGACAGCAGAAGAGAATCCTATGCCAAACATTCGAAAATTTCCGCTCCTTAAGGTGTTCAGAAAACTCTGCTGGATTTTGTCAGCGTCTTCACCTAGGAGGGAGGACTATATCATCTGCATATTCTAAGTCGACGAGATTATTCCCTGGTAACAAGTCAATCTCTGAGTCGCTGAAGTTACTGAGCTTTAAGTCCATTAGCACATCTATGATGAAATTAAATAGAAATAGTGACTGTGGGCATCCCTAGCTGACGAACACCACTGGTTGTCACAACTTCTAATGACGACTCTCTGTAGGCTCTCACCTGGCTGTCTGCATGATTTTGAGTAGAGTGCTTTGACCCACTCTTGTTGTTCCATTGTACCC